CCCACCACCACCACCTCCCCCTCCCCCTCCAACTTCGTATTCTCCATATGCAAGTTACGGTAAATATGGAAGAGAAGCAGAGGCCGAAGCTGCACCTGCACCAGAAATTGTAGCACGTGAGGCCGCTCCCGAGCCGGCGCCGACTGACTATGGAAACTATGTAAGTGAACGATCCCAAGAATTCTGAACTGTAAGAATATAATGCTCATGGTTATCAAATCAGGGAAAATATGGCTCGTATGGATCTTACCCACCTCCTCCACCAACGTACGCTTCGTATGGAAAGTACCCAAAGGCCAGTAGATCAGAAGGAGAAGCTCTGGCTGCAGAGGAATAAACTGGGAAAGTGCTTTGTCGATTTTAGAACTTCGAAAGGAAGAGATGGTTGGACGATGATGTTGAGGAGGCGGAGGGCGAATGGCTTGCAGTACAATTATGCGATTATCTTTTTATCACGATCCTTTACCTAGCTCTTCATACATCTCACTTAATTCATGTAGTCAGACAAAGAGGCATTAGATTCGGTTGTGCAATGGGTTTTCGGGCTTGAGAAATCTGATGCGAAGCAGTTCGTTCCACCTTTAAGACATAAAGGCCTCAGAGCACATATCCCCCACTTCCTACAACCGTCCATGACCTCACGGCCTTAGCATCTTCCAGCTCAACGCACCACCATAAAACCTCCCTAGCCTTCTCAGGCTGTCCACCCTCTTCGTAGGCCCTGGCAAGCGCAAACCACGCTTCGCTGTTGTTCCATCCAGAGCCAAGTTTGGTCAGTCCAGTAAGCAGGCCATACGCTCGATCTCTCGCTGCTAGTCGATCTAAGTCTAAAGTCGAAGGCTCCTTTGAGACGACAGCTTGACTGGAGGGACTTATTTTTGTTGGGGCAGGTTGCAGAACATCGGAAAGGGGTACCAATTTTGGATTGGGTAAGCCCAGAGGCCCTGCAGACGCCATTTGAGGCAGGGAAAGGTGCTCGTTGACATTGAACGAGGTTTCTTGTATATTTAATGAAGCAATAGGGCTGTTTATGGTTGACGCAGACACAGTCTGGTGTTTCCCAGGTTTTATAAACGTAGGTGTTGCAGAGAGTGAAGTTAAGTCCCCAGTATAGATGTCGAGAAGGAGGTTAGACAAGCCCACAATTGCAGAGGGGTGATCCGCAAAGTTCGTTAATGCAGACTCGAAGTTTTCGAGAGCCTTATGTGGTGAGTTTTCCGAGACAGCAAGAAATCCGCGCTAAGAGAACGTCAGTATACATTCGTTTGCGTAGCTACAAGATGCTGATATCTTACCTCTGAAAAAATATCACCCCAGAGTTCACCAACACTTTTGCCACCACCCCAGCCAGCATGCTGCACGGATACCGGAGCACCCAGATCTTTTAACGTCTCACTCTGCAGGCTCTCGACCAGTTTTTCTGCTTCTCCAAGTGCCGCCTTCGAGTCCTCGAATAGACCAGCCTTACGATAAAAGCTACCAATCAGTAGCCAGACATTTGTCAAAATGGCGATCCTCCGTCGCCTTTGCTGTTCTTTAGGAAATCGAGTGATAGGCCCCGTCGAGGACGAATAGCGTGAGACGCGAGGTAAGCGAGAATCTTGGGCAATTGAGGGGTTATTATGTGCAGGCTTGAGTGACTTTTCTTTGTGCTCCATCTGTTGGGAGTCGGGCGGCAGGGGCTTCGAGGATGGCATTTTGTGAGAATCCGTCGAGGGAGACGCCGCAGCTACAGCAATACCAATCCCGCCTTGTTCCGTCTCGTTGGTCCAAACTTTCTGAGACGATTCTCTCAAAGGGAGTCGGCTACTCTCGCCATCCAGAGCCGTGACTGCACGTCGGGGTGACCTGCTACGACTGTTTATGGTTTTAAGCTGGCCCGCACGGGCAGCACTACTGCTTCGATTCCGCGTGTTCGTGCTTCTCTTCCTAGACATACTGTCATTACGCTTCTGAAGCCTTTCATGGCGGTGTGATTCTTTTTGTGAAGCACTGGGCCCAACAGGCCCGGCATCGCTAGTAACCTGAATTGTCGGAGCAATTGTGCTTGCCACAGTTTGAGTCGTCTGTGGGCGCCTATGGTCATTGCTCTCGTCTACATCATCGAGTGTAAGAGCAGTAGGGTTTGCTTTCCTCAACGAGCGTCCAGTTCTTCCAAATATGCTACCTCGAATACTGCGGGTGGTGCCCACTGCGCTCTTGGGCGGCATTGCGGTTCCTGGAGCCACTGATGTGGAGAGCTCTTTTTGGGCATCGCCGAACAGTCTAGAATAAAGACTTAGAAGTTCATCGCTTGCGTTCACAGCGATTTCAGGTCCTTCTAAGACCTCTATTAAGGTTAATTGTGTCATTTTCAATTCAAGAACCGACTCTTTTTCAAAATCATCCATGTCATCAACAAGACCAGAACTCTGTGAGAAAGTCCTCTCGTTCAAATGCTCACTACGAAAGGGCGATCCAGGGTCTTTTTCGCCAAAAAGATACTTAGGGTCCTGAAATTGCTCGAAAGCGCCTTCACAGGATTTCACAGCAGTGAGAAATTCCTGCTTGGCACTAAGCAATAGCGCCATCAAGTGCCATAACGGTATCAACTTTCGCTCTCTTGTGAACTGTCCTATCTGGGCACCATGCCCATGCATAGATTTTGTCATTGCATTTGCTTGTGGAAGCAAGCCTGCCTTAATTACTTCAGTCGCAGCAGTTAACTCTCTTCGCTCCGCCAACACGGTTCCTAGTGCAAATAAAGTTTCCAAATCTTTCGAGCAGTGGTATTCAGGTGAAAGCGATCTCTTGAAGCATCGAATTGCTCTTAGCTGCATCTCTCCTCTTGACGGTGCGTCGTAAGTGATGCGAGCACTTTGAGCATGGCAAATGCCAATTGATCGCCACGTAAGGGAGATGGTTTCTGGATTGACTTTTGTAGCACTAACCATCGAGTTTTGACTTGCAGCAGATTGTCCGCTTGAGGGTCCTGCCAATTGGTGACTTTCTAGCCATTCTTCAAGATAAGAGCCCAGCTCTCTCGCCTTCTCAGCGCCTTGACGGGTACCATATCGGCACAGCGCTTCGATACACTCCGAGATGGTCTTCAAAACAATAGTGTCGGAATCCAGGTTGTGCTCGGGCACTCCTGTTTTTTCTACTCTTGCCTTGCCTTTCTTTACAATTTCCAAATAAGTATCAAAAGCCCTCAAAGCCAAATCGAACTCTGCGATTGCCAAGTGGACCGCGAAAAGATGCCTAAGAATAGGAGTAGAGTGAAAAGTTTTAGTGGCAGCTCGGTATAAAATGTCAAGCACGCCTCTGCTCACGGCTTCGAAACCCCCTTCTCCTAAAGCATGCTCTTTCCAGTTGCTGCCACACAAGACTCTCCAATTCTCCATGACAATCTCCACAAAAACCTCAACTTCTTCGCTCGCTTGCTCTGCTTGTGGGAATTGGACTTCGTTAAGCAGTAACGTCTCATAGTTTGATTCCACGCGCTTCAACTCGGCTCGCTGCTGCAATCTAGTTGATGTTTCGACGTACACGGTCGCGAGTGAAGTGGTAGGAAACGGTAATTCTTGCTGCAAGAGATCTGACAGGGTCACATAATATTCTTTCCAAACTCGACTTCTAGGAACGTCCGCCCCTATGGCTCGACCACCTTGGGGGCTAGATGCTTGTGAGTCCCAAAACTTCGACCAGGCGCGGAACGCAGATAGCGCTCCCGTTTCCAGAGTCGATGTTATTTTGGACTTTAGTAAATGGCTCGACAGCATGCAGAACCCTGTCAGAAAGAGCTCCGTCCATGATCGTAGCTCTCGTGCTTGGGACGAGAGCGACGAATCACTAGACAGTATGGGCAGGGCGGACTCGAACGTTTCCAGCGCTTCAGCGACAGCACCAGTCCGAACCTGGGCAGTGCCCTTGATGTACGACGCTTTTAGCGCGCATACTCTAGTCCACCCCGTCGATTCCTTTCCTGTGCCGTCGAGTTGCGAGAATTCCTTTTCTATGCTGCTCGACAACGCTGAGACTGCTAACTCTGAATGTCCAAGCTGCCAGTGCAACCATCCCAAACACACTTCTGCTTGAAATCCATCCTCGACATAACTCCTTTCCCGCCCAATTGCTTCAGCCAGCAGGGGCGCAAAACGTGCAAGGTGCGACGATGGCGTCGGCGTAGAGATCGGGTTTGTTGTGGTGGCTGCGGTACCTGGATGGGACGAAGTTGGGCGTGTCGAAGATGCGTCTTGGATCGCCAGTTCGCACTCAACGGTCAATGCCAAACCTATTTCTCCCAATCAGTGAGAATTCATCGCATCTTTTGCTCACTTTCCCCCTCGCACCGCCATCGTTCATTGCTCAGCTCGCATCACGTACAGGTTCGATTGGGCGCGTGTTTCTTCACCTTTCGCAGCAACTCTGGCACCACATCCCAATTGCCATGACAGCGAGCCTCGTCCAGCTGCTGTATGTAGTGAGCCGCTTTGGTGTGTTCGCGCTGTAAAGTTGAAGGTCAGTCATCAGTGGTCCAAGACATTGCGGACGGGTGTGTTGACTCCAGGATCACGGGGGATGGAAACGCACACTCATTATCGGGGCTACGGGCGGTCGACTAGACCCTCAAGAGCGGTGCAGAGAGCAGGTGCGCAGGTGACGAGAAAATCGCATCACAGAAGGTTTATATTTGCATCATAACAGGAGAGAGCGGTCCTGGCACAGGGGCAGATCGTATTTTGAGTACGGTGGTAGGTATTCGGTTCCCTGTTGTGCAGCGCAGCACATGTGCAAGGTGACTTGACGTTCTGCTGTGCGACAGCCCGGGGAAACAATGTTCCATTCCGCCGCATCCCTCAATTTTATACTTTTTTTCTCAGGAAAACATCACGAAAGCAACCTGGAATGGCAACGGAAGTAGTATTTCCAATTGACCAGCTTTTTCTGTAAAATAAGGCTTACTTCCAATACACACACGGAAATAGCCAGGCATTTTTATTTTCGGCATCGATATCTGAGTCCGCGTCTGCAAAATGTCGCTTCCGCCAGAGCTACGCCTCTTATGCTTCCAGCTCAGTGCAACACCGACCACTGATCTTCCTCGGATTGTTCCAAATCTACAAAGATATGTTCTTCGCTGCCAGAAACCACTATCAACGCTGCCTCTCAGCACTCCGAAGGCCGATGCGAGTGCCGCTTCAGTGCTCGTACACAAGCTGAAGACGCAGCTTTCGAGCCTGATCAATGGGAGAAATCCCGAAGGAAGATTTGCAGCAGCCGTGCTGATCAAGAGCGTCATTGAGGTTGGTGGCTGGGAGGTGTTGCGCGGAGCGGAATCTTGGGTTCGAGGGTTGTTGTCTACCTTAGCAGTAAGTACCAACAACAAAACCAAAAAGCAACAGGTGCTTGGCTGACATTATGTAGAAACCTGATCCAGACGTGACCAAAGAATTATGTATTATAACATTGACTAAGATATATTCCATGACCCATCAGTATCCAACTCTGATCCGGGAAATCACGACTCCAACCTTGCCAGGTTTCGTAACGTCGTGTCTGACTCTCATTAGCAGTAGCAAGTTGCCTTCGTTAACAGAAACGATATTTCGCTCATTTTCCACGCTCTTGCCGCATCATACTACTATTTATCGCCCATTTGCAACTCAAATTCGAAATGTTACTCGGCCTTACCTGGCACCAACCGTCTCTGAAAGTCTTCTTGTGCCTCTCTCATTGCAGGAAAGTGCTCGCCGTCTCGCTGTTCTTGTACATCAGACAGCCGCTAAAAATGGCGGTGGAGAAGAATGGGGCAAGGCATTTCGAGCCATTGTCAAGGCAACGCATAACACCGCTGATCATGTCTTTCGAGCAATCATCGAGGATTGGGAGTCAGTAGCTGGATATGTTCCTGCGCAGATAGATGTGAACATGGCGCTGGGTGGCGGTGGACAAACGGAGGATGACTTTCCCGGCTGGACTGGTATTGTTTCTGGAACAGACCGGTTGACCGGGCTGATACAAACAATGAATTCGTACCTGTTGTACGAAGCGTCGGTCTCCGTTTGCGTCCCTCTCGGTGGTGTCATGGATGTGATTACTAGAATGCTCTCCATTGCCGCCCCTTCAGAGTCGTCCGCCAGTCTCGGTGGGGTCCGACTCCATCCCGGTGTCGACCGAGATGAGAGAGATGGGCTGTGGAGTGGCATGCCTCAGATACATGTTGCAACTTTAGCGCTGGTCAACACTCTTGCGGAAAGGATGCCAGAGAGCCTTGTAACTATCGCACCGATTCTGCTCGAACAGCTAGCCTGGCTTTTCCCACTGGGAAGCACCACGCCGGAATTCCGGACGGCCTTCTACCCCGCTGTCGCTGATCTTCTTTCTCGTGCTGGTCGCAGTTTCAATAAGTTACAAGTCGGTAAACTTGGAAATGTAATCCGCGCATGTTGTAAGGATATCCTGCCGCAAGAAACGGAAAGAAACTCATTTACACCTGGCGAGACTCTTGGAAAGAAGCCCTATGTAAATGGGTCAAGCAACCAGAATGCCGACACATTTTCCCAGCAGAACGGTGGCCTCGTAGTTGAGTTTGGCCAGTCAGATCTACGCGTATCTGCCACACAACTGCTACCATTGTTTTTATCGCATCTACTACAACAGCATTTGGACATCTCGATGCGATCTCTAATAGAGAGGACTGCTATTCTATCAGGGCACAAGGATGCTATGGTTGCCAGCATACTCAACCCCTTTGTAGGAAGAAACGGGAAAGCTCTAGCAAGTATTCTTCCCCATCTCACGAGGCAATACGGCAATGATGCTGAAGTAGAGATGTTACTTCGGCCCCGTATGCCAATGATACCCTCTGTGGGACGCCAGCATTTGGATTTAGACGCTGATATACAAGTCGACGCAGTCTCCTATTACGATTCTGAAGACATCATCGTAGATGAGAAGAATGATTTCTCCCTGGAAGGCCAGCATGAACAAGAGCGCCCAGCATCTCACCCTTCGACTTCAGGGGTTGACTTCGCTCCTCAAGTTCAGGCACCAAGTTATCGGAACACAATGGCAGCTTCAGATGTCTTTACCACAGCAGTGCCGACTATTAGCATTCCGCAAATAGCAGTTGCAGATAGTTCATTTGCGCGGGTCATAAGTGAGCCCTCAATGGAAGCGAAAGGGCAAGAAGACATCGCAATGGACTTACGGGGACCAGAGTCGTCCGATGATGAATCTGTTCATCTCACAATGGAACTTGACACAGACTCAGAGTCCGAATGACTTTCAAAATAACGACTGGGCTTTGAGACTTCTTAGCCTTTACATGGGGGACAAATAAATAGCCACATGCCTTGTGAGTGACTTTACTTTTCAGAAGTCATTCACTGTTTACTATGAGCGGTTTCCTACGACCATCCGCTCCAGACATTCTGTGAAGCTTTTAGGGGGGGCTATGAATGGATCTGGAGCTAGCTAGGCCAGGTGTGTGCCATTGTCTCTACCAACACGGGTCGCCGCCCAAAGTTGCCGAGCCTTTAAACCCTCCTCGTACTGTTCTTTTACGCTTCAGGGTAATCGACTTTGTACACTGACCGCCAGGAAGTGGGCTTAAAATAGGTCACTGCATGGTTGGTTACCCTTTCCGGGGGTGTAGTCTGAGCATGACCAAACAACTTCCCAGGATGTCAATGTGCGTTTTGCATTACGAAATAGGTCGAGCGGCCTTTGCAATACTGCGAAGCCTGCTACTTTACCTAGTGGAAAGTAGCTTACATGAAGATATATAGAAATTCCCTCAAGCCGATTTTCTTGCCTAAATATTTGATTGTTTTTAAACGAAGTGGCTAGTAAGTGATTCATATATTTTCAGGTTGCTGATCTCTGTACTGTAGCAGTCTTCAACATCTTGACTACGTGCTCATCTACACTTTGTTACTGTCATTCAGAGTGGCGAACAACATGTTGTATGAGCCTACAGTGTTATTACTCAAGTGAATGTTATGAATACTACTGCAGAGAATATTCGGTAAACACCAAAAGTGGGCTTCTCAACCAGTTAGGGTATATTATGAATGATGATAGTGGGTAATACACACTTCTATTGAATGGTTCTAAACCACTTCGTATTTTATCATTGTCACGTTGACAGAGTCGCTTTCCTTATTCGATACGAAGCGGAACATCCGGAGGTCTCGATACGACGTTGTTGATGCATCATACCCTTCGTGTTCCTGCCCACGCCGTATGCAATCATAGAGCATCCTCCCCCGTGACTGCGAATGGGGGGCACAGCATCACGTTTCTAGGTACCGAGCCGAGTGTGCGGTACCCTAATGCGGGAACCCGATGTCAAGGGGCACCAATGGATTCGGAAATGTTTTTTGCATGCTTTTCTGGACGTTGTTCGCCTCAGCCGCACTTCTGAATGTGTCACTGCAGCGAATCACGTTCGTTCCTTGGTCACTGCTGTTTGCTCAGAAATTTTGTGTTACGTCGTTTGTAGAAGGAGCTTGAGCCATCCAGCAGGCAATTTCATAGAAAGGATTCAGGCACCAGCAATTTCCTTAGGACGGCTCACGGAATGCCTTCGAGGTTTCTACAAGTTGTTGGTCAGTCCCCTGTGACCTTACGTGGCACCGAATGACAAACTGATTGACTGATCATGCTTCCATGGGTGATGGAAAGGAGACGGTCGTCCGATGTGCAAGAAATTCATACATTCAGTCCTCTATGCAAGGGCTCAAATCTCTTTTCCACCGTGGGCGTGGAAGACTATCTGTCTTGACGCGGCGTAACGTTTTGTAACGCAGCTATGCCGCTTAAACGAGTGTAAGCAAAAGCTTTGTGTAAATGAAAGGTAAACGTTGCCGGGCCTCGATGAGCATTGTCAATTGTAAGACGGGTCAGTTCCATTTGTGACTGATTGGCGTGATATAAGAAGGAGAGTATTTTCCGATGTCAGTTACGTTCAAGCCTCAAAACACTTCATCTCTACTACGCATTTTTCGGCACTTCCACTATCGCCATACTTTTGGTCAGGAAAAGCATGACCAAACTAAATATCAAGAAACTGGTTGCTCTCTGCGCCATAATACCTGCGGTTCTTTCGGCTCAAGTGGGGAATGATGACCCTTCTGCAGAACAAGGTTTTATGACTGTCCAACCTCCCTTTACACCACTGACAAATTTTCAGGCCTTATTGGAGATCTGGTTAACATGCCTACATCGAATCTCACATCGGCGGGCCAGCTGCTTCGATTCTGGCTGTTACATGTAGGCTCCGCCATCAGTAATAACAAACTTTCCCAGCCGGAGTGTGCTACCGACGTCTGTTGCCCTTGGTATGCTATCGCGGACGATTTAACGCAACTCTTCGTCGATCCTGCGACTCAAGAGTGTACTGACGATGCTCGAGCTGCCGTCCGCCTTGGCTTCCATGACGCAGCTTCTTGGTCTAAGAAGCTCTCGGCTGATGGGAAAGATACTGGAGGCGCTGATGGATCATTCATCCTATTTCGCGAAGATGAGAGACCGGAGAACAATGGCCTGCAGGGTTTTGTCACTAAGATTCTCGCTGTCCGAGCCAAGCACCCTGGAGTTAGTGCCGCCGATCTGATCCAGTTTGCAGCTCATCACGCAACCGTGTCTTGCCCCCAGGGCCCACGAATTGCTTTCTTTGCTGGGCGGGTCGATGCCACAGAGCCAAGTCCTCCTGGGCTCGTACCAGATGTTCATGATAGTTCTCAAAATCTGATTAATTTGTTCATGGACAAAACAATCAATGCTGCTGACCTAGCAGCCCTACTCGGAGCTCACACCAGCGCCAAACAGTTCCATGTCGATGAAGGTCAAGCCACGAAGCCAATCGACAGCACACCAGGAATATGGGATACCAATTTCTACAATGAAACTCTCCAATCCAACGCAACTGACGGCGTGTTCCGTTTTCCTTCGGACTTGCTTCTTTCAAAGACTGAGCATGTAGCAGTCGCATGGGAAGGATTTGTTGGTGAGCAGAGCAAATGGAATGAGGTGAGCTCTTTGCATATGGGAATGCCGAGCAGATATACTAACACTACTAGGCGTATGCACTTGCTTATACTCGGCTTGGGTTGTTAGGTGTGAACAAGATCAACGATTTGATCGATTGCTCGAACGCTCTTCCTCCTCACATTCCTGACGCTCCTGGGGCAATTGGAGGTCAAAAAAGAAGACGTAGGAATCTTTATCATTGATAGTCTTCGCAGCTACTCTGAGTAGTAGTTGCACTATGGTTTAGATCATAAGTAATCTGGTGGATGCTATCCCAAGGAGAATAGTGTATTGTGTGGAATTTCCATCAAAAGGAAATTATTTTGCCAATAACGACGGCGTTCAACCACTCTTCCGAACCAAAAAAAAAAAGAATTTGAACGGCATTTCAACTCATTCAAGTACATAGAATATGTATCAGGAATTGAAGATTAGATGATCACAAAAGAAGAAGGAAAATACAGGATTTTAGATAACCCTAGCCATTATAAATCTTGCGTAATTTAATGCCTGTTTTTTGGGGGTCTTCTTAAGCTATAGGCAAGTGGCAAGCATCAAAGCTGCCTACCTAGGTAGGTAGGTTGTCCCAATTCGGTAATCACGTGGCCCAATACCACCTCATTATAATGTCCAACCCACCACAAAAACCTGCAACCAATCTGACCCTAAAACGACCAACTACGCTACAGCGTGACTACATTTCACCATAACTTATAGTACCTTGCAGACATTCAAAGTTAGCCGCCATCGACACGACCATTTTCAGATAACTGTTTCGCTGCTCGACATGCGGTGGTGTTCGTAAGCTGAATAGCAACAAGAAGAATCAGCCTTTTCCTATCATGTTTCGAGCTCCTTTGCTCATATTAGCCGCATTCTCAATCTTGTACCTCGTCTTGATTCAATACTGTTGTATGGCGAATTATCGTGATCCAACTTCCAGATTCTTCGACCCTACCCGGGCATACAAACACATATACTCTCAAGAGAGAATCAAGGAAGCCGACTCATTCATTCTGTCCCAAGACTCCCGACCCAGCGCAATCGAACATGCAGTGCAGACACCGGTGTTGTGTATTGGGGTTGCCACGGTCGCGCGTCGAGGTGATCAATATGTACGCCGAACCATAGGCTCACTTCTTGAGGGCCTCAGCCAACAAGAGCGAGGGGCTATATACATGAATCTCTTTCTCGCCCATACCGACCCTGCCAAGCATCCTGTTTTCGGCGAGAAGTGGGTAGAGACGCTTCCGAATAAAATCGTCGAATACAGCAAATCGGATATTGAGCGTGTGCAGGAATGGGAAACGAATGGTTGGTACCGGAATAAAACGATATTTGACTACAACTACTTGCTTCAGGATTGCTACGCGACTGGCGCTCCTTACATTGCCATGATAGAAGATGACACTCTCGCGGTGAGGGGTTGGTATCGCGTGCGATGGAAGCATTGCGTGACGTCCGAGTGGCCATGGAGCGCCGGGAGGGACAGAATTGGGTATATCTCAGGTTATTCTACACAGAAGATCTCTTCGGATGGAATAGTGAGAGCTGGCCGAGATATCTGTTCTGGTCTCTCACAATCTGGCTTGCCATCATGAACTGCACTCTTGTTCTAAGAAGCAGATCAAGATGGTTGCAAGTTTATCTATCTGGTACGGCTGTGTTGGTGATTTTTGCAATCTGCGTTCCTGCCCTCATTGGGCTGGTTTTTGCTGCTGGGTACAACTCCATATGGCCGCTTAAACCGGGAGTGCATGAGATGAACAAATTCGGTTGCTGCTCACAAGGATACATTTATCCTCGTGAGATTGTTCAGCCTCTCCTTGAAAGCACCAACCTAGAGACAGATTGGTTGGTGGACATGATGGTGGAAGACATCGCTAATGAGAAAGGTTGGATTCGTTGGGCGCAAGTGCCCGCTTTGTTGCAACATATTGGGTCAACGAGTTCGAAAGGATATGGTTTTGACGATACAGCAAAGCATCTCTGGAATTTTGGGTTTGAATTACATCAGGGAGTAGATTGGCGCGAACCATTTCAATGTTGTCATGCTCTTACTTAGGAGTTGTAAAGATTAGGATTACTCTAAGGGTGCAGACCTTGTTACCTACCTAAGCACTTACCCCATTCTAGGTACCGAGGCTAACAAGCTTTACTCCAACTTTCCATTTTACGTTGGAAATCACGGTTTCATTTTTTGCACCAGGGGCCATAAACTCTGGTTGAGCTGCGCTAGCAGCCCAGTGAACGCTGACAGAAGCCCTGACCTTCTTGACTCACGCTCTACCACATCCATGAACAAGCATGCATCATTTTGCATGCAATCTTGTCAGTTCGTGAGTCTGGTTGTAAGCTGAATTCTCTTTTAGTCGTTGCATGAAAATCCAGCATCATTCAGGATCTACCTAGGCAGAAGGCTTTCCATACCTGCAGCAGGCTCATTTTCTTAGACCACCCCCGTGTTTGGCAACTTTTGAAGAAGAAGAGTGATGTTGGTGTGCAATCTCCATAACAACCCACACGACTGACCGGAAGAATATTACGAGGCTATCAAACTAAGTAATTTCAAGTACAAACACCCTGACATCGAGATACCAAACGCTGGTAGTGGTTCATAGATATGATATTTGTTTCTAGGCCTAATTGGCTACGACTCATAATGCTAAGAATATACGGTGATAATTTCAGTCAAGAAATACTCTGGACATCTGTAAATTGGAATCTATATCCTTCTTCACTTCCGAGCCCTCAACTTTCGTTGCAATGATTCTGACATACCATGCATTTACAGCAACGAAGACGAAGATCTGTCCCTTGTCCAAAGTCGCATCTGGGTAATCACTCAAGACTGCCAGATCTGTTCAATACGATTCATCAACTGAACCCTGAATGTTATGATCAGCAGGAAATCCAGAGCCTCTCTGCTCCAAAAAACCGCTACGCGAGAACGAAACAACCTTCCCAATGCTTTGGCTAGCGCCAAAGTTGACTTGCGCCCATTCTGTGCCAGTGGGTAGGAGGTGAAGCACAGAGGACCACCCGAAACGAACATCAAGTCCGCTGTCTACATTTCCGTCGGTGAGATAGCTTGGGTGCCAGCGACTATCACCTTCAGAATCCGAAGAACTGACGGCAACTTGCTTACCTCTAGCAAGATCAGTTCCACTTGGCGTTATATAAATAGTAGGTGCTCCTAAGACTGTACATCCATTTGAATCTGTTCCCTGGGATGTCAATGTTCAATGTTTACAGTTACTTCCTTACCAGCCCACCGAGTCATTTCAAAAATCATTAATACTCATCTTTTCCAGCTCAATAATTCTTATTCAGAAGTAAATCAGGTCCAAACAAGTTTTGGCCATCGGCACTCGCTTGGAAAGCAGCTTCTCCGCCAGCTGGCCCTACTTCATCTTTGACTTCCAAAGAAGTCCAAAAGCCAAGTCTCTCTTCGCCATTGACGCCAGGTGGGTAAATACTTCTTGTGACATGAGAAAAGATACTCTTTCTGATTACATGCCCTACTGAACAAGCTGGTTCAAGGTGAGCATCCTTGCTAGTAGAAGCAGATTTTGTAAGTATACCAAAGAAATCATATATCTTCTTTCCAGGGTTCCAGCGTAGAGCACAAGAGGTTGGGTATACCGCTTTACATTTCCATAATCCTTCATAAATCGGCTCAATGCGTTTCCGAAATTATCTCCAAAATTGGTTGAGCCGAACAAAGCATATTGATATTTGACTGTTGAATCTTCCCATGAATTGGAACAGATGACTTTCATGCAATATCTGAGCATCGTGAGCAAGGTACCGTAGCTAATTGTCTCGTAGAATGTTTGGGGATTGAGCTCGAAGCTAGCGTACTGGTTTTTACCCTGTCCCCTGGCTGCGTTGTCTATTTGGCCAACATCCAGAAGTTTCCATCCATAGTTCGTGAAATCACCGGCTGCGTTGGCAGCGGCATGAGTGTCGAGACTATCACCAAAACTGCGATCGTCTTGCCGTGGGGCTCTACACATATATCAAACTCACTAAAACACCATCTACATGGTTTTGGCAGAATTTAACAAGCTGACGCCAAAACCACAAAGGTATGTATTTCTGCCTCCGCAATGCAACACATTTATCACTTGTAGCGTGCATAATCGACAGAACCCTCCATAGCTGCCACTCCTCGGGGGATGCCTCTCCAGGTGTTACATCAATTGGGGTTTAACAGCATCCCAATTCTGAGACCCCGTTCCCATTTCCCGGTTGAAATCCTCGATAGCAGCAAATTCTGGTACACGATCCGTACCAAAATACGCTCCACCCATATATTCCGATATCACGAAGCCACATTTTCCATTCAGCTATTGCAGAGGATTTGAAACTGTGTCTATGTTGCTATTGGCATTGTTTTTTTCGGGGTCTAAAGAAACACTAATAAAAAGAGGCAAGTTCTCGCGAGACCATTTAGCAAGGACTTTAGGGGCGGATTGGATGTTGCGTGTCTTGTAGTTTCGGTAGACATTGTTGGGTCGAGAAGGTGTCTAGAATTATAATCCAAAATTATTTGGAACGCCTTCAAATGACGAGTTAATTAGAGATCGTGGAGTGACTTTTATCTCTCGAGACTTAGGTTAGAAGAGTCAACCATCAACCGAGACTTTTTCGTGTGAAATTTGTGCTGATGCCCTGGGTGAGTTTGATGATCCCGTACAGAATTAACAGGGTGATATAAACCCTTTATTATGATACAAATGGAACCCCAACTTACAAATTATTCTTTCCAAAGCTATGTAGATACGAGCTCTCCTCCTTAACTGCTCCAAACCATCGTATCAGGGTTCTGCGCAATGACATCCAACTGCGCATCTCCCCAAGCCCAGAACTCTTGGGTGTACAGCAACGGGCTGATCTCCCATCATTCATATGAATCAAAATCGGCAATTCAGCTTGTTTTACCGGACTTAAGATGTACCATGGGTTCTCAGGCTCGAAGTTTTAATATCTATCCGCTCCGAAGATGTCACGACTTAATGCCCATGAGGAAAACTTCTAACCGAGTTGAGTGTATGGGCCACTATTACAACGCATTCCATCGCTTACAGAACTCTGATGTCGGAGCCGCAATCATGGTTTGCTAGAGCTCCTTCCCATGTTGGTAGAATTCAGGTTACGCTGAGATCATCACCTCGAGAAGCTTCGGAGAAGGGCTGATGGGGAAAAGGATTTGTAATTCCCAATATGTCTAGCAATGTCAACAAAAATGTGACAAAGAAAGGAACATACACAGTCAATATAAAATTGGTTATGTTCTTGATGTCTTACAGATAGTAGAGTTAAGAAATCTTGGGCGACAGATCGGTCACCATCAGAAAAACGTCTAAAATACTTGAAATTGGGATATCTCTATATTGGAGGGAAGCGAACCTACGAGGTAGTCTCCACGAGTGAATCAGGATTGAGTAGTATCTATACTTGTGTTGCTTATGCTACACATTTTTCGATTACGTGTTAGGTTTATTGTGATAATTAAGCGAGCCGGCTGTACCTCCTTTGGAAGAGACAGTCACGCACTTGACGCATAGGTCAGTTTACGATCCGTTTAGAAACATACGATTATAAGACTTTACTAATTAAATACACCTCTATGTTTTTTATTCACGTGCCGTAATCTAGAAGATGACGTTGGAAAGTAACGGTGGCAGTAGTTAAGATCTGACTGTTAACGAAGACCGCAGACAGTGCCAAAGCAAGGTTAATGCAAAATCCGCTCGGGAACGCAATGGGTTATTTCAATCGCGGCAGAATAAGGAGGGCCAAAATGATACAGACCATCATTACTCACGAGCACCATAGAAACAATCCTAGTTCAAATAATTAATCCGCTTTAACTTGATGGAAATTCGAGAAATAGACAGGTTGAGATAACTTGTGTAGCGATTTACACATAGTTCGCACTCATAAGTATTAATCCAAAACGAGCATGTTATCGATGATCTGACGAGAATATACATGAATCCAACCCATAATATGCACTGATCAAATAACACTTCTGCTACCATATCCCAACATTTTATACATCATTGACTGATAATTACGATAGCTAAGAACCTGGAACCCGGGACGAGATTCTTACTTGAATAGTCATTATTATCATGGCAGCCCAGTTGATATTACGGTTGTTAACGATCCTGAGTATGGTTCATCTGAGAGTCCTGCTAGCCGCAAAGTTGGCTATAATGCTAGGGGAAGGGTCATATTTTTCAATGTTTCAAAAAGTTGTTTGTGTAAACTACACAACAATGGTCTCTGCCTGTACACTGTCCAACGTTGGTACAACCTCTAACATAAGCCCGGTCTCCGCATCCCACTCCACCTTATCAATTGTCGTCTCTCTATTCGTTCCATTGCCATCGGGAATTCTAAAACGATGATACGCCATATACCAATTATCAGTACCCGGCACCCGTATCATACTATTATGTCCCGTCGCCTCAATCCCCAAGTCCTCTCGCTTCTGCAACACCACACCTCTATTTGTCCATGGCCCCCAAACTGATTTCGAAGTCGCATATCCAACTCGATAATTGACGGATCCAGTATCATCGATGCTGTAAGTGAGATGATAGAGACCCTTTCGGTATACGACAAATAAACCCTCACGAAAGTCCGTCAGGTTAGAGGTAATATCGCGCACAGTACTCCCTTTTAAGCTTTTTAAATCCTCCGCCATCTCTCCCATCAACGCGGCTCCGTTGCCCCAGAGAAAGAAATGCTTCCCGCTGACTGGATCCAAGAACGCGCATGGATCAATAGCCTGGCCAGATTTCAAGGTCTCGTTGCCACCATTAATGATCATAGCTTCTGGCTCCGCAATAAAAGGACCACTTGGCGAGGAAGAAAATGTGAGACCGATTGTCTTGCGATCGTATGTAGGATTGTGGCCGGAAAAGTAGAAATAGTACCTTCCATCCTTCTCGGTGATAGTAGGTGCCCATGCATTTCCTATCGCCCAAGGTACGTTCCCTGATGTCCCATTCAAAGTCAAGAACGGTTCAGTAGAGCGTGTCCAGGATACGAGATCGGTCGAGGACCACACGTAGAAGACGTTTCCGCCCCAGCCGGGATAGCCATCAGTTGTTGCATATATGTAGTAAGTTTTGCCGAACACGGCAATGTTGGGATCTGCATATAGACCTGTGAGGACTGGACTTGAACGTTTAGAAAGAGCTGTTCGCTCGGTAACTGCTGATACAACCCCATAATGGGCTCTAATGGCTGCAAGCTCCGCAGCAGTGACAGGAATCACAGTTCCATGTCGAGGACTAGCAGGGAGACTAAACGAGTTCGAGACCTTCCATTCCGGATTCGCGATGCTGGCTGTTTCCAGTGGGATGTATCCGCGGCTGTTATACTCGTCCAAAAAAAGGTAGAAATTTTGTCCATTGACGTCCCCCGCATTTGCCTTGAAACTGGTTGGTCCTTCCACGGCGGAGGTTCCAGCGTTCTTTCCAATACAGCTCGCGATTGTTTTCCAGGATGACAATGTAGCTTGCAGCACAGATGAGCTCTCCTGGATAATATCGGCACATCCAGTCACTGCTCCCTCGTCTTTTGTGAATCGGTAATACATCCCATTATCTTCAAGAACAGTCGAATCAATCCGAGCCGTACCTGCATCCTGCCATATTTCGGGTTCGCTAAATGTAACAAAGTCGCTCGTTTTGGAGATCAACCTCCTCTGATACGAACTTCCTGAATGGTTAGTGTCGGTTTTTGCGTACAAGTCGCTTGCCCAGAAAACGACATAGGTATTGAGAGCTGCATCCCAGTAGGCTTCAGGAGCCCAAGTATTCCCTGCAGCTGCCGGTGAAACCAAAGTATGTCTTTGCGCAGACCAGGTGATTAAATCGGTTGATTCCCAGATTTCAAGATAACGACTTCCGTTCTTGATTGAATCGCCCCACTGTGTGCCTGAGCCGATTGAAAGGTCAGTTGCCAAAAGATAGAATTTCTTTCCGTCCTGCGAACGGAGTATGAAGGGATCGCGAAGACCTTTGGTGCCGAATGAAGACTTAAGGATCGGTTTCCCGGAATTGAGTTCACTCCATTGAAGCGCATCGTTCCCCTTGCTAGCAGCGAGGTAGATGTTTTCGCCAGCAACAGTATTGCCGGTAAAATAGAGAAAGGCGTAACCCTGGAGCGGCTTTGTTACAGATTGACGGCGCTGTTGCTGTTGTGCAAGAGCGTCACGGTATGTTGGGACATAACCAGAACTGACATCCGCACAGCTGAGAAAGGCAATGACTGCAGCAGAGATTGGGGAACGCATGATTGAATATCTTTTACACTCCGGCCATGAAATAAAAGCTGACTAAAGAAGAGCAACTAAGAATCCTCAAACAATTATAACGCTTCTGCAAGACTCTTTATACTTGCTCGCCATTCCAACATCTTTCTTGTTCCTCTTCTGATTATCCTGTGGTCGTCATTTTCCTCGCACAAAAATAACCCACCAATAAATCCATGGAAACCATATCAATCGGCTCAACAGTCTCATTTAAGCTTCAATCCGTTCCAGAAAGAGATCATCACTCGTGTGCTAGGCCGATATACAGAGACATCGCCAATGTTTGCGGGGGATCTTCTTGGGAAATCTTCGACTGCCGGCTGGGTATGATATGCCATACCCGCTACCTATCCCCGCCAGCCCCGGCATGCGGGGAAGTGCGGTGGAGTATTAGGCGCGCCAATAATCGGAGTATACTCGTAGTAAGACCTGGATTTCCGTAAGTGCCCTCCGTTCTCCGCTCCTTTACAAGATTCTGCTTAAGACTGACAGCAATCCTAACCTAGTTTATCTCATTAACATCGATATTCTACGGCGCGTCTATAACTATGACGAAGTTTTCCGTGTTACTGGCCGAGCATCCTTCTCCCATGTCTCCGCCGAAATGCTAAACCCTCTATATTATTGGCATCTTCTGGCTTTCTAAATGACTGTTTGTGTAGGACTCGTCGATGTTTCTGCAAAAAAGCGTTGACGGAGTTGATACATCATATTTCCCTCGAAAGCCAGGGATAATACTACCTGTTTGATCATACAGGTGAGTGGGAGGATATGAAGCTTGTAACTAGGGTCATGGATTGGTAATTATATTCTGACCACTTTCAGCCATTCTTACTAAGTATTCAAAGTGTCATAGTATCCTCAGAAAAATGAACAAAATAATCATTCATACTTCCCAGAAAGTAGAATATATAGAATGTCTAAAATTCGCATTTAGTGACAAGATAGAAGATAAAATAACAGTAAAAAAGCTTAAACCATCTAGGCAGTCCAGCACATGCGTATCTTCATGACAACGTATTGAATTCCCCAATTACTAAAATAACAAAATAAAGCTCCATTCACTTCTTCATCTTCTCAGATCCCATCCTCACGTGCCTCCCCGGCGCCCACTGCAAAAACATTAATATTGTTTTTGGTAACTTTTCTTTTTTTTTGGGTTTCCCAAGAGCTGACTCTCAGATGTTGATCCTTTGTCAGATGCTGATCTTGCTCATTAACGCTGCTCGCCCAATTCTGTTGCTATCTGACTCGTGTGTATCCATTCGACTTATGGGTTGATTGACTCCCCACGAGCTGGTTGCCCAAACTCGATTCCGAAAGTGCTCAAGCCATTTTAGGCTTCTTTCCACAGCTCTTCTTTGGTGGACAAGCTAGAGCCTCCGCAACACCAGCAGCATCCTTTACCTTAGCCAAAAAGTCGAAAGCGTTGTTGATGTCGTTCACAACGTCCTGACCACCCAACCCACACGGTGTGCTAACATAGTTCACAAAATCGATAGCATCTCCTCCGTACTTGGTGAGTGTTTTAGCGCTTTGAATTGCGAGCCTGAGACCGACGGACGCTTCCGGTCCAATGACTGGGATGAAATTTGCTCCGATCTCCAGTGCTTCCTTAAGGACCCCTTCAATAGCGGTTTGAAATGTCGCGCATGCCACTGTAGCAATTTTCGGAAGCACGACTCCAGCGAACTCACTCGCCATAAATTCGATGACGGGAAATGAACACTTGCAGTATCCCATAACAAACAGATCGTTTTGTGGATCGGGGACACTTGGGTTGTCTGATGGTAGGCCTCCCCGTCCCATACAAGACACGGAAACACAGTCTAGTGATGACTTTGCTGCTCTCGCATACAAGTCGCCGCCGCAAACATTCGAACAAAGGTCCATGGTGCTAGCTTTTCCTTTAGTGGGATTTGCCGTATAGACTCGACACTGTCCTTGCGATCGGAACATCGTCGACTCAGAGTCAAATGATTGCTGGGATGGTATGCTGGCTCTTGCGCGGAGTCGGTTGACCGTAGTGGCGTTCACAATGGAACCAAATACCAAGAGGCTCAACGGAGATGTTAAAGACCACATTGTGAATTTGAATAAATAACTCCTTTGGGTGAATGAGGGTAGTCACTGCGTCGGATGGATGCTGGTAGGTGAGTTGATGGTATTGAAGTAGATGATGAATAGAATCGACGATGAAAGAGGTAATACTGTTAGTTCCTCTCATATATGTACTCCTTGCTTGTTATTTCTACGGCGTAAACACCAGGCTAAATGAGTTGTTTATCCAAAAACAGAACCTCCGGTACGAGATTTTAATGTATCCAAGTCATTCTCCATATCAATTCTGCCTTGGGAAGTTACGAAGTATAAGCTCCTCATTAGCCACATGTTCGCAGCTCGGAAGCCTTGACCACTTGTATTTTGGAGTTCACAATTTATCTCTCTGCTTACTCGCTTCCGATGCTTCGTTGCTCCAATGATAGAGGGAAACCTCGAAGAAAGGTTAGGGAGAAAGGCTGTGCTCTCCAGAATACCGGCATAAACCATGTATGTACGACAAACTCCAGGCATATGTCCCCGCTGTAAGGTTTTGACAGCATGTGGGCTGTGCGTATTATTGCTTATTAACTGGAGAAATTATGTGAGAACAGTGCTCCACTCAGGTTTCCAGGTCATCGACGCTTGATTGCTTAGATGATTGACTATACTCACTTGTTGATAGGTGAAATACTAAGTGGTCAAATGCCTGTATGTTCCATGTAAAAATCAATAGCTAAAAGAGAATAGAACGTCTCCGGAAGAATTGAGACTTGAAAATGCGACATCGCGGATTTGGTATCCCGGCTCCGATTCCAAAAGTCACGGACTTTGCTGATCATTTGCTCAAACGTCTCAGCACATAAGAACCTTTAACCGGAAAGATTAGTACTTGCAGGTCCAATAGATTCCAGCGAGCAAGATCAAGCTAATGATGGAATAATGAGAGTCTTCAAATGTAATGTACTCTGTGACGCTGAGACTGTACCTCCATTCAAAATATACTACGCAGCGCTAAAAGCATCATAACACACCCGGAGATAACGAATCAGGTATTGAGCCTTCAGAGGTCGCCGCCATGGAGGCTGGAACCGAGAATTCAAGCATTCTCGTTGCTCGCAATGTCAAAAACCAGGGGCGGAAGTGACAAGATCCTTATTCTAGCGAGATTAGCGAGCTAGTTATATTCTTACGTATAGCGCTATAATGTTAGATCTTAAAGCTTACTACTTAACGTAAGAATCGATACTAATAATTTATAGATCGAGAAGTACTATCTAATTAATAGTAAAGAATATAATTATAGTTACTATAGTAATTTTCTTCTATTATATATAATCTTATCTATAGTAAAAAGTAATAAGTATTTTAGTTTAAATAAGTAAAAAATTATATTAAGTACTAGAAGAGATTAAAGTATAATATTATTAGAGAGTAATATATATTTAAAAGATTAGTATAGTATTTAATAAGTTTAATAAAAAAGAAAAGAGAAGTTTTTAGTAAAATCTAGTAAAAACTAATATAGCTAGTACTATACTTTAAAAGTTAATCTCTTATATTATCTCTCTCTTTATACTAATAATATATTAATATTTATTATATTTAATAAGTAGCTAGTAATATTTTATATAATTCTACTTATATAGACTTTTATTATTTTTTAGTATTATTTTTAACTAGAATATATTAGTATTTCTTTATATTTAATAATATAAAATATATCTTTAAGATATTATCTTTAAATTAACTTTACTTTTACTTTTAATCTATACTCTATAGAGTAGTTACTATTAACTTTAAAGTAAATATACTAGTTAGAGCTAGTTAGATATTTATATTATAAAATAAAGATTAAATTAGAATTTTATATAATAAAGACTATATAACTTAATAATATATAATAAAGTATATACTTTACTTAAAGAACTTTAAAACTAAAGAAAAGAGCTATTCTTTTATATAAATAATAACTTTAGTTATTAGTAAGCTTTAAAGCTAAACTAATTAATCTATAAGAAAACTATATATTACTTAAATATAAGTTTATAATTAAATTAGATACTAAGCTACTTAAGAGCTAGCTAGTCGTCTAGTTTTAGGTCTATAGTAATAGAATAGAGTATAAGAGTATTATTTATAATATATACTAAAGTACTATTATCTAATCTCTTTATAAGATAGATTATATCTAGCTTTTTTAATATAAAAGTAATCTTATTTTAATCTCTCTATTTAATAATTTTCTATATCTTCTTAGTAAGCTTCTTAATATTTATATCTAGTAAGTTAAAGATATAGTAGAGGTAGATATTATCTATATATCTAAATTAGTAGAAGGAATTCTATATAAGTAGTTTAGCGAGATATAGTATATATAGTATAAATAAGAGTAGAGATTCTTATAGAGTACTATACTCTACTCTATAGTTTAGTATTATCTTCTTCTTAAGTCTTATATAGATTTCTCTATTTATAAGAAAGTAGTCGATAAGTTTAAAAGTAAATAGTATAAAGCTTTACTTTATTATTCTTTTTAGAAGTTAATATTTAAGTAGTATATTAAATATCTTTTAGATATTTATTATAACTATTATAATTTATTTATTTACTATAAATATAGCTTCTATATAATAAGTAAAGATAGTAATAAGGTCTATTACTAAGTACTTAGAGAGTACTCTACTATATTAAGAGCTTAGAATTCTACTTATAAGTATAGTCTATACTAGTTTTCTAGCTATAATTCTCTTAAAGCCTTTAGCTCTATATAGAATAAGTATAATTAAATACTATAATTTAACTAATATTTTATCTCTTTCTAGACTAACCTTAGATAGTATAACTATCTTAACTAGCTTCTAGCTCTTAGAGAAGTAGCTAAGTTTAAGGTACTTAGTATATAGATTATAGAGTTTTATAAGTAAAGAATTTTATATTTATCTATTAATTAACCTCTTAATTTAAAGTTATAAAAAGAGAGTTTAAGAATAGTAAGACTTATTTAACTCTAAATAATCTAGCTTTAAGTAACTTAAGAACTAGTAAAGTTAAGAGAGTAAAGAGTAGTAGAGACTTATTCTAATATAGCTAAATTAGAAATAGATAGATTCTAAAATAGTTTAATCTACTAATACTAGACGTAAGAGATAATCTCGAAGTCTTTTAGATTATCTAGAGATTTAGTTAGAAGAGAATAGTAAGAGTATATATAGCTAGCTACTACCTAAATATAAGTCTAGTACTATTATAGACTTTAGAGAATTAGAAATAACCTTAATTTAGTAAACTAGTTTACTTCTTTTAAACTTATTACTTATACTAATCTTGAGTTTAAATAGAGCTTTTTAAAACTTAATAAGTATAAATCTAATAAGTAATTTATATAAAAAAATTAAGAGACTAAATAATATTACCTCTAACGTCTTACTATCGCTATCTTTACTAATACTAATAACGTCTATTTCTAAAGTTAAAGTCTATATAGTAAATATATTTAATATAGAAGGCCTCTTAGTAATAGTATCTACTATAGTAGTTATACTAATTTTATATATAGTACTACTAATACCTTAACTAGAAGTAGTTAAGTTCTATATCTCTAATAGTATAAATATTACTACTTTTCTTAACTAGTATAAAAACCTCTTTAATAATAATAGCTAAATAGACTAGAATAAGCTTAACTAGATTAACTACTATTATAATCTTAAGTATAGTTAAACGATTTAAAGTCTACTAGACTATATTTTAAAGAATTAAGAGAAGTTAAAGAAGAATATAAATTATAAGTTTAAGGGCTATAATACTATATAGATTATAAACTTAATTATATTCTTAGAAAAGCTAAAGAATAAGAAGTAGTAGATAGAACTAAATATAATAGTCTATATTAGGTAATTTATAAGAATCTCGAGAATTTTAAAGAATAAGTATATAATTAAGAAGTATACTAGAAGCCGTTAATTCTTATAGAGTATTCTTAAGCTATTAAGAGTAAAAGTAATTAGTAAGAATAAGGTATTTTCTAACTACTCTAAAGAGGTTATCTTTAGTAAGCTAGTTAAGACTACTATAAGTCTTATAAATACTAAAAAGAATATTAAGAAGTTTTCTAATAATATAGAGACTATACTTATTATAGAGAATATTATTAGCTAACTAAAAGAGAGAAAGGTAAATAAGTCTTCTAAGATTAACATAGAAGTACTATTAGAGATAAGCTATATAACTAAGGTACTTAATAAGAAGATTAATAAATTAGTTAAAGTTTTTTATAAGATAGTTTTAAGTTTTAGTATTTAGTTAGGTTAATAATAGTTTAACTTAACTAGAGGCCTAAATTAGAATAGTATCTATCTAACTTAAAATTAAAATTATAGACTATCTAGATTATAGACTCTATATTTAAATATATAGAGAATAGGTATAGTTAGTATTAATATAGCTAGAATTAGTTAAAGTAGCTATTATTAGTATTACTTAGCGATAGATTATATATATAGAGAGTATATAGAGTCTAAGATAAATATTAAGAGAGAGTTAGTATATAAATATAAAGGTAAGGTATATCTTAGTAGAGCTAGAGATAGAGGAAAATAACTTTAGATATCTAGAGATAAAGTAGAAATAAATACTATTTAATAAATACTAACGACTATTAGTTCTTCTAGAATATTTAAAACCTAGAAAATATATAGAGATAGACTTAGATTAATAACTTCTAACTAAGATAGAACTTACTATAATCTATAGAGATATTAAAGAACCTAAGTATAGAGAGATTAGTTAATCGAAATAAGAACTTAACGTATAGAGTAAATGTTAATATAGTAAAATTAATAGAGTTAGATAATTCTAATCTAGAAGAAGATAGTTTTAGGTTAGTTTCTATATATATAGTAGCTTAGAATAAGAAAATTAATAAGAAGAAATAGAAGGACCTAAAGAAAGTATTAAGAAATAGAGTTAATAAAGAAAAGAAGCTTATAGTCTTAAGAGTTTCTAGAGTTAATAATCTATATACTCTAAAGACAAAAGAGGTA